CCTGTCACATACACTTTTTTTTTAAGAGCTGCTTTCACTGCTTGGCAGATTCAATTAACAGAATAAATCCTGGATTCTTAATGTTTTGTCCTCCTTTTCTAAGTGCTGTTTCAGCACTGGAATCAAAGCGTCCTCGTCTCGGCAGAGCCCGCCTGGGCATCGCTGCTGGCGCCGGCACTTGGTGTCCTGCCCTTTGCTTCCAACCTTATCTCACTGCGTGTGGGGGAAAAGTTTTAATCTCTAAAAGTGCCCGTTAACGCAATTTTTAGCTCCTTTATTAACTTCCTTTTGTCGGTGGTACCTAGCGAAGGCACCAGCGCTCGGCTGCCTGCAGATAGCAAAGACTTTCCCGGCCGTGCCGCGCCAGCGCCGTCACCGCATCCTTTGGAAAGGCCCCAATTCCTAACAAATCGGTAGGACCGATTTTATTTACCTTCTAAATTCAAAGGGAAAAAAAAACCATTTTTAGCTCCTTTATTAACTTCCTTTTGTCGGTGGTACCTAGCGAAGGCACCAGCGCTCGGCTGCCTGCAGATAGCAAAGACTTTCCCGGCCGTGCCGCGCCAGCGCCGTCACCGCATCCTTTGGAAAGGCCCCAATTCCTAACAAATCGGTAGGACCGATTTTATTTACCTTCTAAATTCAAAGGAAAAAAAAAAACAAAAAAGCTTTATTTTTGTTTTCCTTACTGGTTTTGTTGCTGCTTTCCCCAGAGCCCGCCGCCCTCTCCCTGCTGCCAGCATCTTCCCCCGCCGCGGTGGCTGGCGGAGACTGAGTGGGTGAGCGCTCAATGAGTGACGAGCGCCCGTTTCCTCTTCGGGGGAGCCGGAGGTGACAGCAGTGTGTCATCAGCCATATGTGCCACTCCGGCACCCGGGGATTGCGGGGCCGTACGCGACTATTTCTGGGAGCGGGAGGCTCGCTCGTCTCCTCCCAACACTGGATTTTGGGGATTTAAGGTCTTGCTGCCAATGGGTGGCTCAAGGTGAGCGGGTTGATGGGCCCAGCACCCTGGGATGGCTGCGTCCCTATGGGGAGAGGAGGAAAAGTTATTTCCCTGCAGCTTTGGAGGGGAAAAAGCCCAGCCAGCAGCTTGGTTTTGTGTCCTCGGAGGTGGTGCTGTGGCCTTGGTGTCCTCCCGCTGTAGCTCATGGTCGCTGTCTGGCACCGCTGGTGCTCGCTGAACGCAGCAATTTCCCACCGTGGGGGTGGCACGATGGCAGCGCAGGGACCAGGGTGGCCTTCGAGCGGTGTCACCACTCTGGGATGAAACTTTCCAGCTGAGGGGACCTGGATTTTACAGCTTTTCACCATAACGGTGTCGCTGAGGCGCTGGCTGCAAGTGGAGTGGGTGGTTTTGCACGTGGGTCCGTGGTCCGTGTGTCAGCTACTGGGGAGCACTGGGAGAAACCGCATGTCCTTATGATGGGGAGCATCCCTGGGGTGAAACCCGGACACTGCATGGCTACAATGGCACCGCTTGTGAATCATCACCTAGCAGGGCCACAGGGCTTTCCTCATCACCGAAATACCAAGGAGTCAGGGCACGGGAGGTGCAGCCTCCAGCACCCAGGAGCTGGCTGTGCCATGGGATGCGGAGCTGGGATTGGTGAGGTCCTGGAAGGGCTGTGCTGATGGGGACAGGCTCCAGCAGGGGTTCACAGGGCTTTTTGGTCACAGGATGCAGCATTTTTCTGCTTAAGTTCGCCTGTATCCTCCAGTTGTTGCTCCCGTGGCCAGGACAGGGGATCCCATAAGCTGAGTGGACAACGGTCAGAGGTTTTCGTGTTCCTGTGCCAGACCCCAGTGTGTGCAGGAACCAATGGACAAACTCCACAATTGTGCTCAGGATGGCCACTGAGGAGGATGAAGGTGATGTTTTGGGGTTCAGCTGATGTTTCTGTCGCAGCTTGGGCCTCATATGAACACAGGGAGTGTGCAGCCTCCAAATAACAGTCAGTTCAAGGAGGAGATGCAGGCTGTGGTCAGGAGGGATTGCTTTCCTCCCACTTTTCCCTTGCTCTCCTTCCCTGCCGCAGGCACTGCTCTCGATTAGCGGAGACCTCGAGCGTACCCGAAATGCATTAGAGTTAAATAATTCAGTTACGGAGCTAAGATGGGATCTAAGAGGTGGGTGGGAGAGGCGCTTGGAAATGCAGGGAAGGGAGCAGAGGGCCTGGCTTTGGGAGGCAGCAGAGCCCTGGGTACCAGGGAAGTAGGATTTCACCTGCTTTTACTGTAATTACGGTGAAAGCTGCCTGTAAACATGGCTTTAGAGCTATTCCTGTAGCATTGCATCTCTCAATCCCTGCACCCTAAATGTCCAGGGGTGCTGCAAGCCCGGCCTTGCCATGGGGACAGGCCGATTCCCAGCACCCCAGAGGCAGCGGCGGGGGTGGGCAAGAGACCTGCACCCATCGGGGAGGGACCTTCCCTGGCACTTAAAACTTGGCA